CGTCCTGAGATACATTCCAAGTATGCTTTCCAATCTTCACGGTGGAAGTTGCAGGTTTAAACTACATATGAGAGGTTGTCATTGATCCATTTTTCCTTTCTCTTTCACCTTAGATTAGGCTAGTTTAGATTCTAACGAGTGATGCAAAGAAAAAAATTACAAATATAAAAAGTATTATATTATACTAGACAATTAAAGTCCATGATGAGGGAAAAATAAACACCGTAAAGAAAATTAAACCCTTTGTTGGAAAATAATTATTTTCGGCAACTTTAATGTAAAATCTGTAGGAGAGGGTTCAAGAAAGGAGTTGGAAAATTCGAAGATCTTCAAAGATCCTTGAAGAACAACTTCGAATTCTCTAGAATATGATGAGAGGCTTAGATTCTTCAATAATCTCAACTTAGGAACACAACAACAAAGGAGATGATGGAGATAAGAGATTGGGTGAAGAAGAAGGCAAAATAGCTAGAGAATAGAATAATGGCAAGGCTCTCCCATTGATCTCCCACTTTCACTCTCAAGGTTGATAATGGAGAGGGGAAATTAATTCTTTCCCAAGAGTTCAAAAATCTCCAAAATCCATCCCTTGTAAAGCTATGGGTGGGTGCTATTTATAGGCACCTCATGATGTAGGATGGAGCCCATGTGCAAGGCACATGGGGGATATTCTCTCTAACCACCTTGTCCGAGGATGATGGAGATAAGAGATTGGGTGAAGAAGAAGGCAAAATGGCTAGAGAATAGAATAATGGAGAAGGGAAATTAGTTCTTTCCCAAGAGTTAAAAAATCTCAAAATCCATCCCTTGTAAAGCTATGAAAATGTAGGAGAGGGTTCAAGAAAGGAGTTGGAAAATTCGAAGATCTTCAAAGATCCTTGAAGAACAACTTCGAATTCTCTAGAATATGATGAGAGGCTTAGATTCTTCAATAATCTCAACTTAGGAACACAACAACAAAGGAGATGATGGAGATAAAAAGATTGGGTGAAGAAGAAGGCAAAATGGCTAGAGAATAGAATAATGGCAAAGCTCTCCCATTG